ATAAGCTCTTCCTTAAAGAATAATTAATGACTAATCCCTCACAGTGGAGATATATTATTTGATGAATAAGTGTTGGCATAGTACAGTGTACCTATCTGCTATATTTAAACAGGTATTTGCAAGTTAAACTCAATGAAGACTTTTCTTTATTCTGCCTATCAACCATGCATACATACTTTTAATACTTTTGGCCGTGCAAATTTGGTGAGAAGGTATTGTATGTATCTCTCAACTATGCAATTTCTTTCATTATCTTCCTCCAGAAAATAAATCACATTGTCATTGAGGATAATCCACCCAACAAACCAGGGCAATACGCAGCCTGAGTTTTAGAGGTTAGAGAGATCATGACCATCATTTTAATATATCAGGTACCTTGGGTGTACAGCATTGTTTGCACTATTCAGTATATGAATGTGCCTGACAAAATCTTCCTGTTCGTTCATTGGTTTGTTGGAAATAAACAATGACCTCACACAAATTATTATATTATATTAATATATAAATATATATTATATTATTATATATTAATTAATTGTACAGCTAGCTCTATGATCATTAAAATTCTAGCAAGTACATTTTTAAAAAGAAACATAATGGACCTACATGACAAGAATTAAGCAATAACAGACCTGACAGTTAATCTGAAACCAAATAACCGGACACAAAATGTTTTTCTTATGGCTACTAAAACTTTGTAAGACTTCGAAAGAGAAAAACAGAGGAATCCTCACATTACACTCAGGAACAGCCAGTCACTGGTGGAACTCAGGATTCAGATGTATGCAAACATAAAAGCAGCGTGCCATTTCTGGCCTGTGTATTGACCCATAAAAGTTAAGAGACAGGAACATGCACATTATAATTAAATTTAAGGAAGCGGGAAAAGGCTTCTTGGTTGTTTTATGGAGTATTTGTCACAATTTGCATGCTGTTCAAGGGCAAGGCGAGCACTGGGCATCTTCATCTGGGTAATAAATTGAACAGGACTGTCAGGCGGCCCTATAGGCTAGAGGAAGCTGTCATCGCAGTAAATGCAGATTATCTGGAATGTGACCGTCGGAGGTCTCACTTTCCCCCTCGGCATTAAAAAGAAAACCACTCATCAATTTTGTGGCCATCAGTTATTTCTAGAAATCTTTCGTCATATGATGACATAGTTAAAATAATGTCTACTGTTTATCCCTATAACAGAGTGGAAAAAGGAGAAGCTCTTTATTCAAAGACTGGAGTATGCTTCTATGTCTTTTTAATTCTTGATTAGATTAATATGTTTAATTTTAACTATAGAAGATGCTGTCGAAATGACTACAATGTATTCTCCCAAAAGCACAACCACCCTCTCTGCCCATCTAATCCTTACTCCCCCCCCCACCCCACCCCACCCCACCCCACCCAACCTGTACAATTTATAGAATTACTGGATGGATCAAATGGGAATGTGAAAGCTATTAAATGTGTTTTTATCCAGCTGCTCTGAGTCCTAGTTGTAACATGTAACACTGAAAATACACCTATTCATGCAGGGACACGGGTGTCTAAATATTTATGCTGTGCTTATTAATTTCCTCGTGTGCACTATCACCAGCATTTTCCATAACAGTATATACTGTAGCAGACAAACTAATGGTATAACTAACACGTAATGACAAGCAGATACACGCATACAGACACAAGCAGACCTCAGTGTAATTTTCTTCTGAGATCAAATGTTACTGCTACTTAGATTGTTTGTGACTGTACACACACCAGCTCCAGTTAGCTGGCAACAGAACTGGCCCACAGGCACAGTGGGATGTGCATAAAATCCGTACAAGGTACCAAATTTCAAACTTGTGAAAACTAAACAGTAGCAAACAAAAAGTTGTTATATGAGCACTTTAACTTTGGAAATAAATATTTATTATAATGCTAGACTAACCTGACTGCAAGAAATACGTTGAACCAACATTCTTTTTTCCACGAACTAATGCAGTGAAACAACATTCATCTCTGACGTCGGAATGAATTTGTGCACATTGATTTTTGATTGATCCAAGTTAGTTTTGATTCAGTGTAATATTTTGATGCAAGGCAACAAGTATATTTTCAGCTATAGGATTAAGTTGATTTGTGGTTGTTTTTGTGTTCAATTAATATTGAATCAGCAGTAACTAGCATACACTGAAATAACATTGAATCAATTTTATGTGGTGCCAACAATATAAACAAGGCATTCAAAACAGTACGAAAATTACAATGTTTTATTGAATTCACAATTAAATTAAAATTTACAATGCAATTAAAATTAAATTAACAAAAACATTCGCCAGTTTTGGTAGTAGGGACCTGTAAAATGCAGCAATAATAATGAAAAACACATTAAGTGTAAAGCCTTGTCCATTTCAGTTTGCAGAAATCTGATACTAAATTCGGATCAGGAACCAAAACACGTACTAATAGTGCAAACAGTGTACGGTAAAGTAAGGAGTACAAGAAGTGGACTTATACAAATAATTATTTAGTGTACTCTAATTTCCAAAAAACTAATTACAAACATTTTATTTACATTCCGATTTTTAGTAAAATTATAGAACAAAAGTACAAACAGCATTTGAAATTAAGAAATGCAAAAAAAATAGCTCACTTTGCAACAAGTGACTGAGGCTGTGCAGATCTGAGCTGCTTTCCACCCTCATACTCTGGGGCCACAGCCAGCGCTTAACATCTGAAAACTCTTCATACATCCGTGAAGGAAATACCTTACGAAATATGCCTGTTTCCGCTTGTTTGGGGTAAGCGTTTAAGCATTTACATCTCTAAATGGAAATATGCCGGACATAAAGCTAAAAGCGTCTATTACTGGATGACACAGCTGACTCTCTGTTTGTCCAGTCCGCAGCAGGCTTGCAGGGTTGGGCGATACGAAGGATATAATGGACTTACTGTCATACAACATTTAAGGAATAAAGCGAGAAGTTCGAAAACCTGTCGATGAGGAATGTTTCTTGATAGAACACATCAGCTAATCACATCACACAAAACTCCAATTGTATAGTAGTCTTCTAAGAATGAGCATCCTATGCCCAGCAAATGCACAGCAATGTTGATTGAGTTAAGAGTACACCACATACATGATTGTACTTTATTCATTGTTGCCTTTTCTCATCTTCTGAATCAGTTTAAGGGGAATTCTAAGGGACCTTTAAGCAAAATGAGCCTTGATGCAAAGAAGTAATGACTTGAATTATATCACAATAATAATTAATAGACTGATATGAAAAGAATTATAGTAATAATTTTTCCCCCATATCTCCCTGTCGTACCCTGAACTGTGACTTGCTGCATGCAGAGTCCAACTATGTAAGAGTGATAAGGAAACGCATGTCTGCAGACAATATGAACCCACATTACTTGACTTTCTATCTTATTGAATTAGGTGCTGAAATGGTGTAAGAAAAAGTTGCAGCCAGCATCCAAAACCATTAGTGGTCTAGGCTACTCTGCCAACAACGTTAAAATTACCGCCTTACAGTCTGTTGCTGTCCAGAATTTTGCAAACCAAGAAATGTTAACTGATGAACAGCTTAAGCTAAGGTCATTATCAAGCCTTACATACCTTTGTTAGCTAAGTGATAGTTGGCATTTTTCTAGTGTAAGATAAACATGCAAAATTTATACTTGTATGTAAAAAAATGGACCCATAGCTCATGACCAGTGAGGGTACGGACAAAGATGGACCAATAGATTGAGAGCTTTACCTTCTGGCTCAGTTCTTTCTTAGCCACGACGAACCGGTTAAGCGCCTGCAAAACTGTAGACGCTGCTCCGATTCGTCTGTCCAGCTCCCGATCTCGCCTTCCCTCACTCGTGAACAAGACCCCAAGATACTAGAACTCCTCCACTTGAGGCAGTACCTCTTCCCTGACCTGAAGAGGGCAATCCACCCGTTTCCGGCTGAGAACCACGGTCTCAGACTTGGAGGTGCTAATCCTCATCCCCGTCGCGACCCGCCCCAGAGCACATTGGAGATCCCCAGCAGATGAAGCCAACAGGACGACATCGTCCGCAAAAAGCAGCAAGGCAATCCTGAGGCCACCAAACTGGACACCCTCAACACCCTGGCTGTGCTTAGAAATCCTGTCCATAAATATTGTAAACAGGACCGATGACAAAGGGCAGCCCTGGCAGTTCCTACCCTCACCTATGGCCATGAGCTATGGGTAATGACCGAAAGAATGAGATCGTGAATACAGGTGGCCGAAATTAGGTTTCTCCGCAGGGTGTCTGGGCTCTCCCTTAGGGATAGGGTGAGAAGTTCGGATATCCGAGAGGGCCTCAGAGTAGAACCGCTGCTTCTCCACGTCGAAAGGAGCCAGTTGAGGTGGTTTGGACACCTGGTGCGGATGCCTCCTGGGCGGCTACCCGGAGAGGTTTTCCGTGCATGTCCTACAGGGAGGAGGCCCTGGGGCAGACCCAGGACACGCTGGAGGGATTATATCTCTCAGCTGGCCTGGGAACACCTCAGCGTCCTCCCCGAGGAGCTGGTAGAGGTAGCTGGGGAGAGGGAGGTCTGGGTATCTCTCCTGAAGCTGCTACCCCCGCGACCCGAACCCCGGACAAGCAGTAGGTAATGGATGGATGGATGTAATAAATGTACATTATAAATTCACAATCAAAAATAAAAATGATACCAGAATGCCATGTGTCAGCTCGCGGCAAGCAGGCAAGCGGTGAAGCAGGAGAGCGAGCCGGAAATACGGACAAACGGGGTTTAATGGAGGCAGACTGACGGACAAAGCACAGCACATGACAATACAATGACAAGTCTCGGGAAGACTGACTCAGACGAGGACTAAATACAAAAGACAAGCTAGACTTAACAGGACACAGGCGATCACAATTAGGGCTGAACACGAGGTAACGAGGTGGGCGTGGCACACATCAGGAGCGGACGGAGCGGATCATGACACCATGTCCATACATAACACATAATCTTATTAGGAATCATTTAACGTTACCTGAGCAAACAATATCCAGACGTCTTCCTCCCGCTTCTTCATGGCACTCACTCCGTTCACAGTGCACATGAGCAGGCGTGTTTGTGTTGAGAGATCTATACGCATGTCATGTGTCAGCATCTCTACCATTAATGGAATCTGTACTTTAGATTAACATTGACAATGTCAAATTTTCAACAATAATTGACACTGCTGAAACAAGTGTAGCTTCAGTAATCTACATTAAACGATAAAGCGCAGACTGCCTCTTTATAAGGCAACACTTACTGGGGAAATGTTCGATCTCAGTGAATATCCATTCGCTACACCTAGGCTACTTTTCCATTAACCTGGTGCAGAAGCTTGTTGACACCGTAAGATGACAGAGCTGACCTCTCCTTCTGCACTATGTGTCTCGCTGGTGAAAAGAGTCTTTCACACGGTACAGTTGCTGCAGGTTGCTCTGTGCAAAATGAGCCAGCTTTCTATGAGCCACTTTATGTGAAGGCCATCGCTTCAGTAAATATTCCTCATAGCGGATCCTGGGCTCTCCTTTGTACTTATATTGGGGATTAGGGGTGTACACACAATCCATACCGTGCTTGAGCACGTTGGACCCCCAAAATCCGGTTCGTTAGACTAGTGCGACTAGCCTTGGCACAGTAAGCTAAAATGCGCCTGGGCCCACTTGAAGAAGTAAACCCCGTTACAGCTGAGTTGCACTCCGGCACTGTATGAATGTAGCGTGATCATTAATCGTGTCCGAGCAAAGAACACTGACATGACGTCAATGATGCGACTAACATGCGCACATGTACATGAGCCGGACCCGGAAGAAGCAGACCGGGTAGCGACAAACGTTTAATTATACATCTTTATATAACGGATGTAAAAATCTGTCCGGACACCGGCTTTTCCTTATGTTTAAATAAATGTGTCGGACTTTAAACTGCAAAAAGTACTGCCTCACCACGGACATCTTTTTACCTTCTTTATCCACAATATCTCATCTTTTAAGATGTTTTGGCTGCTCAGTTGTCTCTTTCTTCACCGCTACTTCAGTTTTTGTTGCTTCCATAATTTACCAAAACAGTAACATACAGTAAAACTGGTCTAAGTCGCCGGCTTGTAACTCGTCAATGTGCACAAGTCGACGCTCAAGCAAAAGTCCCGATTTTTCCTAATGATGTTTCCTTTAAAATTCCTTGTGTAAATCGCCGCTTGTAAATCGTCAAATTCCCTTAGTTGTCACCTAAATCCCGGTCCCGAACAACACAAATGAATGGATTTTCCTACCTGTAAGTCGACACCCCAATCGCTGCATTCCCGCCGCCTGCTTGCACCAAGGCAATGTAGAAACTGGGACGCTCCCTGGTCTTAAGTCTCGCGTGTATAGTGCGGTGTAGTAGAGGTATGGTGTTATATTTACTAGTCGGCAAAACGGCGAGATAGACATAAGTCGCCTAAGTGTTGACTTTATAAGTCGGCAAAACGGCGAGTTATATTTACTAGTCGACAGAACGGCGAAATAGACATAAGTCGAAGCTGGTCCCGCGAGTGTCGATTTAGACCGGTTTTACTGTATGTAACATACTGTAGTTAGTGAGTTTGGTTCATTCGGTTGCAGAGGTAATTAATTCTCGTGAGACTCATAAGACCTGTAGTAGATTTTATAATATAATTTATTAATGTATCAATTAATTAATTAAATTATTTCTTATTTAAAATGCATCTGATCACATTATTGGCCACTGCTATGACTTTTATTATTTAATTCAATTAACTTAGTGTAATTTAGTATCTTTTGGAGCTGCATTTCCCTATCCCTATTTTTCTGTTGGAAATGTATATTTTAGTAAACAATTTTAGCGAACGTGAGGTTTTTCAGGAACACATTTATCGCATTGTAGCAGGATTGACTGTACATGGTCTTACACCATAGCACTTTTCTTCAACACAAAAAGTCGCACAGTGATGTTGAAAGTGTGCTCAGACCCACAACAATAAGCACAATGTGAGTGTAGACAGGGGGGGATTATCTTACTCGGAAAGGGTAAACAACCAAGCCAAGTGTGAGTATGCCGTAGGTGTGGATGAGGCCTCATCCTCAGACTATGCATCTAATCCCATATAAGGAGGCTGTTTTTTGGTGCCTCTGGATCAGTTTCTTCAAAGGGAGATGGGCATGGCTCCCTGTCCTCCAGCATCTTCGTACATCATCTCTCTGCTTTTTGTAGGCATCTCAGGTCGTTAAACTTGGGTTCTAGTATTGTTGACGTATCAAGCCATGCCATATTTGTGTTCCCCTCATGCTTTGCCAAGTCCTCTGTGAACGTAGTTTTGAAGCACCAAGCATAGGCAGCCCTGTCATCAGAGACCTCCATCGTGCAGGACAGGTGACAAAGTACAGGTAGCACCACAGAGCAGGATGCATATTTCTCATCTGTTTGGAGCTCTGCGATGTTCCTGCAATAGCAATAAAACAAATATAATTACTATACCTTTATTTATAGGTATCTAAAAACATTAAGAATGGCATCCCTTACCAAAATATATTTTCCCCTTCCAAAATGAGAGCATATTTCCTACCTGCCTGGTTCCAGCAACATCTACAGCTGAGCTAGTTTATCAAAGTCAGCTGAAGTAAACATGGTTGCTTTGCACTACTGTTGTGCCAATGCTGCTTTCAAAAGTCTTTTGTTGTGTTGGACCTGTTTGATCATTTCCAGGTTTCAATTACACTTAGGAGAAACATCTTGAACCAGCCCCACTTGCTCCTGCTTGCAAGGGGCTGGCTGCACTCAGACCTGTGTTGCGGGACTGTATTTGAAATGACCGATTAATTTACAGCAGTTTGTCAAAACACTGTCAGAACAGCTGTCATGGAGGAACACTGTGATTGCCCTCTGTATAATGTGCACTACACGGTCTACTGTCATACTGCAGGCACTATCAGTTCCTACAGTAGGGATTTTATGATCTGCCACTCTTTTGAAACATGAAGGGACTCCTCAGCAGAAGCGCCAGCAAAGTGCCTTTCCTCAGTTTTCATCGCAGGTAATGCGACCGACCGCAGATGCCAGCTGTCATCGATAAAATGTGCTGTTACGCCCAGCTAGTCATGGCTCCTTATTGATGTCCAGTGATCTCCAGTCAATGAAACAGCTGTTGCTTGTGCTGCTTGTTCCGTTTTACATGCATTTTCTTCATTGCAAAAGCCATGCATTCTGGGCACAACGGTACCCTTTGAAGTTCAAATCTAGTGGGACCATCTTATTAACTGCATTTGTGCCTACATAGGTAATTGTTGAAAACCATATATGACGTCCCTCAGTTTATATATCAAACATATTTTGAAAATATAAATAAAGAATTAAAAAATATCTTTAGAGGGACAGGACATTGCTTCTAGCAAGAGTATAAAGGTATGTTGTATCATTTTAGATTCATTTAAGTGAACAGGAAGAAATTTCCATGTGGTTTAAAAATAAAGTTCAAATATATCTGAAAGTAAAACATTTTAATAGCTTCTCTAGTTTGATGGCAACATTTCCTTGTTATCATCACCATATTTTTGATAATGTGCTATTTTTGATATACTATTAACTCATATAAGAATGATCACACACTAGATTTATACTTTAAATGCTTGTTGCAATTCTTGTAAGGAATTTTGCATGCAAATGATGCCGCGATGAACAATAAATCAAGAGCATTTGGCGGTACATGCAAATGAGCTTGCCATTGTGCCTCAATGGAAATAGAAAAACTCATTTGCATGTGTTGCATTAAATGACGCATCCCGATATGATATTTACCTTAGCAGACAAGATCTGTCTCAGTCCTCAAGGTTGGTGCTGTTAATATTAAGCTTCATTGTAAAAACGATTTGCGGCGTTTAATACCAACAACTTGATAAGCAACTTTAATGTTTTGGATTGGCCTCCTTTTTTAGTAATTTCTGATGTTATACTTTGATGTTTCTGATATCAAAGATTCTTAAACTGGCTTCCAAACTCTATATCAGCAAAGATTTTGATTGCAATGCTTTTAAGACCTGCTGACGAATCCTGTGAACAGCACACAAAGCGTTTAGAATCGCTTGCAGGATTCATTTTATTGTGAGGAAACCGCTGCTATTCCAGTGGCGTAACATGGGTGTTAGAAATCATGCCAGTTTATGGATAAGAACCGAAACATCTGACAAGCGGGCTTAACTCTGTCGATTTTGTTAAACGCTGCCGTGAATCGTCCTGCTTTGTGAAATGTAATGAATGCCGTTTTAAAACGGTGTAAAAGTAAGGTGAGAGGTAACAGACAAAAAACGGAGCTGTGAATTTAACCGCCACTTTATTGAAATGAATGGTTGTGTGGAACAAAGGGCAAAGGTTTTCCGTACCTGGCAGTTTATGTAGCTCTCGTCTAAATCAAAATAGCCGCGCTTTCTAACTAATGCTTTACCGCAGTCCTAAATCTCCTCGACGCAGAGGAAAACAGTAACGTCTGAAAAGAAATAAGCACATGGATGACTACATCTCAGCGGCAGCATCGAGCTTCCTTTCATACTGACCTGTTTGGCTGCCGTGAAACAGACTAATTATCACATTCTCGGAGCGACTGTAATTAACAAGCTGGCCCCCGGAGCGGAAGTGTGAATGTTTCAGGTTGCGGATCTGTCTGCGGCTTCCCGCGCAAGCTGTCACGTTTGTTTGCCGACCGGCGCGCACACACCCCGCTGCAGATTTCCGAAGCCTGCCAGTGTAAATGAAAGGGAAAAACAATGTGGCGCAGCCCGGTGGCCCGATCGAGGGATGATACATGCTGTGACTGCTGCAGGAGTGACCCGGGGTGCACGGCCGGTGCTGCACCTTGAAATCTGAAGGTAACGACGTCCCAGATGTTAATACTTGCTTGTATTACAGACAGACCACTCCACAAGGCATGGAAGTCATGATGTGCAATGCTATTTATCACTGTTGTTATTGGCATTGTTGTTCCTGTAAACTACTCGGCCAAGTGAATAAATCTAAATGAAAGTATCAATGCGATGGCTTGCAGGCCTGACACACCCAAAGGAATGAAAGTGGAGAGCCGCTTCCCAGCTGCCCAAAGCTATCCATTTGTTAGGAGTTCAAGCAGCCTGACTGCTACTTGGCTGATGTGGGGTTCAGTTCCTCCAAAGGATTGCTTTTTATTGAGATTTAACTATAATATCACAATAACACTTTTGTTAAATCAGACAAGCTTCAACCAGCATCTGTGTCCACAGTTCTGGCTGCGCTCTTAAAGCATATTTGTTTCATTTGTAAAAAAAGTCAATCTTTTTAGACCTGAAATTGTCATCCCGGCATGGATGCCTCGTAACAGCAGGTATAAGCAGTGGCCTGCCCAGGTTAGCAAAGCTGTGCAGCTATGCTGGAAGAACACAAGGCTTTGTATAAGCTGTTGCACTGGGAATGATTTTACTGTATCCTATATGACCTTGATGGAAGTATGATGGATAATAACTGTCTTCAGCTTGATCAACATGGTCCTCAACCTACCATGGTTATCAAATTAACATCTAGGTCAGTGGTCGTCAAATGGCAGACTCCACAATTGAAACGTCTAGTTCTCCCCTCCCCCTGGTTGGCAAATTTTATCATTGGGGACTGCCCCCCCCCCCACCCATCCTCCCAAGTTGGCCCTTTTTGCCGGACGCAATGGACCTTGGCTTTGTGTGCTGATGGAGTTTGACCCTCGGGGAAAAATAGTTGGGGACCACTGATCTAGGTCAAGGAGCCACACGACTTACTGACTGGGGAGATTTTGTTTCTTGCTTGTTTGCCTAACACTGCAATAAAGACGGCAAACAATGCTTCCAGTAAACCTCATTTACAAGCATGGCATAAAATTCCCAGTGGCTGTAGCAGCCAATATACCACACTGGAGAAAAAAAATGTTTTATGGATAAAACGTTTTGAGAATGACCCCCCCCCCCCCCCCCCCCCCGAGCTCCACTCGATGTTAGGGCACCCAGGCTATGATTAAGATTTTGCGGCAGTAGTTTGTTTTCTAGTAGTCTGTTAATAAGATAGAATTTTTAACTCTGAAAGCCTGGGGAGGCGGCCTGATTTAATGCCAACTCACTGGCTTATATGTGACGAATCACAGCAGCTCCAGTTCGCTGTCCATCCAAACCAGCTGGTTTTGTCTTATCAGCATTAAAGCAGCTTCTGTCACAGTGGCGTTTAAGGAATGCCTCTAGAACCGGCTGCGAGAGCTACATCCCCAGTGGAAATCATCGCACAGCACACGCTCATGCACACAAATTTCGCTTAATTGAGTGAGAGCGGCTCCATTCGAAGGTCAGCTCGGGAACGGCTTTAATATACATCTTGCGTGGGTACATTTGGACTGTAGCAGAATTATCCCTGTTAACAGGCATTAACTTTCCCAGTTTTTCGGTTTGGGAAGCTTCTAGAAAGAATCATAAGACCAGTAGAACCAAATGGTGATTATGTATCTGTCTGTCTATCTTGTGCCTTAATTAAGTTTAAACTTTGGAGTGAGAAACGGTACAAAAGTGTATTGAAGCTGGCGGCTAAGGTGGTGATGTGGTCTTTAATGAAGAGGCTGTTCCCACTGATATATTCATAGCACAGTCATATACCCTACCTCTTTCAGGCTATAACAGGCAATCATTTTGGGCGATCATTTGTTTATTCATTTTATTCATTGATTCTCTGATTATTTTTTTCTCCCTGCCGTGCGGCGCTTGATCATTGCCCCACAGGAGGGGCATGTCCCCATTTTTGAGGAATGGGTGCGGAGATTGCAATTGACTGGCTAAAATTACCGTCACACGTCACGGCGACACATGCCCGAGAGCCGGGGCAATGGCCGGTGAGAAGAGGAAGGATGGATAGCTCTTAAGATCTGACAATAAAAAGGAAAAATGTGGCTTCTGGAGCGTAAAATTAGCAATTACATTCCATGTCATCAGTAATAAGTATTTCTATGAGTGTTGGACAGTGAGACCGTAAATCAACCACTACACCTGTGTTCAATCAGGCAGTACAAGTGAACAGTACTGAGGTACGCTGTTAAAAACGTTGCCTCCCCGCGATAAGCAAGATGGCTACCATCTGTTAGGAAAAAGTTTTCAAAGGTAATTTATTTTTCAAGGCCTTTATTCTGACCTTGATCAAAAGGGGACAGATTTGTGTGAATTCACACTAGAGTCGTGCCACGCCATAGTGCCATATTTTGGTTTAATTAGTATTGAGGCAGAAAGTTTCTTTTAAAAAAAAAAAATAAAAATAGAGCATCAGGAGCACAAGACCCTCAAATATTGACTTAAGACATTTGAGACATGGAGTATGGAGAACAGACGCAGGCAGAATGAGGTTTTTGTAGCATTCAGGTAATATTTCTTATCAGAGCTACAAATTCAAGTCACACGTGCGTGTGTGTGTAAGCAAAAAGTTTCTTTCACTAAACAACCCTTTCACTGTTCACTGAATGACCTTTGAAACATTTTTTTAAATTTTGTTTTCTGGATTGCACATTTTTCCTCAGAAGAACCTGTTTTGGCCTCAAGTGAAGATGTCTTCAGTTCATCTGCACTGGGGACTGCATCCTCCTTCATCACCACAAGGGGGACCGGATCGTCTCATTGCATTTCATTACTCCCTCCACCCCGGTGAAAACAACCATCTGCCCTTGTTCTCTGTAGGAAACGGATTTCAGTGTCCGCCCGCTTTCATTCGCCAGCCTTGTGACACATCTATCACAGAGATGAAGCGAATGTGAATTAGATGCATAGCCATTGAGATGCCTGCAGTTAATAATTTACCATTTGCTTATTGAAACAGAGACACGTACTGTTATTCTGACATGCTATTCCGGGTCCTGGAATTTGCATGCAGATGAATCTGAAGAGAACTAAAAAATGAATAAAAAAAATCTCACTCTCATCAAATTCTGATTTGTGCATTGTTGTTTATGCACTTTTACTTAAAACACAGGGTCCTCTGTTCTTGACACATGCAGTTCCTGGGTGTACAATCCAGTGTGGTTATCCTTGCAAATTTCTAAACTCCATAACCTTGATACAAGTGTTTCCATTTGAATCATGGGAGAAGCAGGTTGGTTTGGACAACCAGATGGTGGAGTGTTTGTTGATTGTTATATAAAGGATCATGTTGGCCATGGGATTGCATTGCATTGTTATACTGTACTTTTTTATGGAAACAATTCCAGATTCACAGTCTCCATAGGGACCCAAGGATAAAGCAGAAATGACTATGTGTGTTTGTGTGTCTCTGTGTTCAGATTACTTTTTTCGGGGAGTTTTCCTTTCGAGCAGAACCTCAACTATTTTGAGCTCCAGGATTATTTAACTTTATATATGTTTCACTGCATCTGGGTTCCCTTTTATGCCTGTTGTGATATATTTGTCTGAATTAATGCAGTGTAAATGCTATCATAAATGCATCATTGTGGTTACAAACAGGCATTTTCAGTCAGGCTGTTTTTTTCCAGCAACACGCAACATCAGGTTGCATGCAGTCAAGGCACAAATGAAGGAAAGCGGCGGTCGCTCTCGTGTTCCTCCTCTCATTACTCCTTGGACTATTATGGTCAAGTACCCCAGGCGATTTTGTTTTTTTTTCCAGCTTATTTTCGAGCCAGTCGGTGTGATCAAGCCACCCGACCACAGAAATTCAATTTGTCTACTGCGACTCTGGCTCGTCCGTCACAGAAAACTTTAATTCAGTTCAGAATGACTCTAGTCGAGCTTACTGAAGATGGAGTTAAGCGGCGGAGTGGCAGGGGAGCTCTGCCGGCTGAGGCAGTGGTTTTCGGCAGCCGTCAGCCACAGTGAACTGGATAATTACCGGCTCCAGACCAGCATCTATCGAGAAATTTTAGGCTCCCTTTTGAAATCATTGACAGAAACCTCTAAAATTTGCGGGAAACCTGGATCTGCAGTTTAACTGGGCAATCACTAATATTACCATGTGCACAAAACGTTAATGAATGGGAAATAGAGCGGGGCTCACTCTCATGAAGGACCAGGTAGCATAAGTTTACTATTAACATTAGCTGACCCTAGTCTTCCTTTCAATCTGTTTTCTCCACTGCCCGTCTAGGTGTATTGCATTCCGAGTGGTTGGCTTCCTGTTACAATTTCATTGCCAGAGAGAAATTCATGAATCTAATAAATATGGATTATCCAACCATTTTCCATAACCACTTATCTAGAGCAGGGTCAGAGCAATCCTGGAGCCTATCCCAGGAAACACAGGCGCAAACTCATACACTAAGGGCAATTTAGACATTCTGGTTCACCTTGAAGCATGCTTTTGAACCGTGGTAGGCAAACAGACTACCTGCAGGAAACCCAAGCAAACTTTGGACTCCGAGCCAGGAGAGGGACTTGAACCCACAACCTGGGTGGTGTGAGACCACCATGCCAATGACCAAGCTGATTACAGAATACAACTGCAGCCCTGCATTCTGTGGATGTTTTAATCCACAACCAATGCACATATGTTCCCCATTCTGGCGTGTGTTGTGTCTATTCAAGCATTAGGAAACGTTGACCAGTCTCTAGCTAGCCTTAGGGCTGCTAATACTGTGGCTGTGGGAGTGGATAGGGCAGATGGCCAGGTCTTGCTATTTGCGATGGAGTCCACATCCTCTCTGGTGCATGTGGCGTTGATGATGGATGCATCATTGCCATGATAGGATGGAAAGTCACGGAAGACAGGGTTAGGACTGATGCGGTGACCCAAGCCAGGGTTCTTTTTCATATACCATGTCCATTACAGTAGAGTTCCCCACTAGAAACGTTGTCGACAGACATCAGCCCCTTTCATCCTGCAAAAATATCCAGCTCACTCTGCCACCAGGTCTGAGACCTTTGCCCCCAGCACAAAGCTAACAAGAAGAACAGTGCAGGGCTGAAAGATTAAAGGGTTTGTGAAAGAGAGTCTTCCTGAAACCTTCTGCAGCATGAGGCACATTTGGAAACTACTCCACTGTTTCCATCTTATTGCACTCTTGGGGAAAGTGTTTCTTACGTGAGGTAAATAGGTGCTGTCAGGTGAAAATACAGTCTTTAGTATTACTCAGGCGAGACGCTGCTTTTCCATTGATGAGCTGTCAGAGTACTGGATTCAAAACATTTCAGACTCCTTATAATTACCCACAATGTTATCTCTGAGGCTACTGAGCCCCAGTATGTCAGTAGTCCTTTCAAAGCTACAATCTAACCCTTAATTTACTGGCTGCCTTTAATTGCGTAGTTGTTCGTTCCTACAAAATTGTGGTAAATGTATCATCTACTTTTTTTTTTTCCTTTTTTTTTTTTTTTTTACTGTTCCAAGCAAAGATCAATGGCAGGTAATTGACCAATCAGAGTCAATTCTAACTGTGTGCCAGGGGACAATACAGCTAGTCCGTTGATAATGAATAAGACATTGGGCGAAGAATACCTAAGCCATGACCGCTCTATTAGCGCTTAGTATAAAATACATTTTCAGAGTATTTTGCACTTCATAGACAGTGCTTCCTTTCACAATGTGCTTTAATTGGGATTTTTTCCTAAAAAGAACTCTGTAAAGGTTTCCTCGCCCACAGAGCTGAACTCTGAATTGTTAGCAATATCCCCATGCACTGCGAATTATGGGCCAAATGGATCGTATATTCACTTAAAGTTGTCTCTCCCAATATGTCTCTGGTTCTGTTGGCTCAACATATAATCTAAAGAAAGATTATTTTTAATTGTAAATCGCTTGAGTAGATCTTCAGGTGGAAATATGCAAAACCGCACCAGATAAAGGTTTGGTGCTCATTTGATGCAACTGGTGCTGGGTGCACTCTGGGTCAAAGCCCATGAAAGAATCTAAGCAGAAATAGCTGTAGATTTGCTGGGGCAGTCAGAGTAAAGTGCACAAACACGTACATCGCCTTTCTTCTGTAAAGACGCTCACCTGGTACTCTGTCTTTGGGGTCACTGTGAATGTCAGCCAGTCCGCAAGCCCCTTCCGCAAGATCTCCAGGATAGCGTAGCCATAGAAACGGGCAGATGAACCGCAGACGTGCCCGTCTGTGCCGCTGACTGGCCCTCCGGGGAGATTTAACCGATGCCACGGTGGAGCCTGCATCTACGCATCCTCTCTTCCATAACTATGGCACAGTGGAGAGACTGGGGAGGGGGACAGCTGGGGCGGAGGGGGGTGAGGTTATCAGCACGGGGAATCCAGTGGACGTTCACCTAAATCAAGCACAGCTCAGCTCGGAGCCCATGACCAGCGCTCAGGGTGAGTTACAGGGCTTATACTTCAGGGAGAAACCCTCTGCCGGGAACCTGAGCGCTTCAAGGGCACGGAGGACTGGGCAGCGCGTTTCAGATGATGGAAAGAGGGAGGAGGTGGAGGTTAATTACCCAGCGAACTGACCACGTTCGGACTTCAGTCCCTTAGAAGGAGAAATGGCTGAGGATCAGGTGGCATTTGAAGCCAGTATAAAATAACGGTGACCCGACGTGACCCAGATTTTGGCCGAAATAATCTCATCTCAACTTAGCTCTCCAGTGGCGAAGAATTTTCATCTCTTTAAAACCCGAGGTGGTCTCAGTCATCTTTACAGTGGCATTTACATTTATTTGCTGGGCTGATGCTTTTATCCAAAGCAAATTACAATTTTTACCCACTTCTGCAGCCGGATATTTCACTGGGCTAATTTAGACCTTTAAGTACCTCACTTAGGAGTACTAGAGCAGGTCCATTCATGGAGCTTAAGCCGGCAAACCTTCAGGTCCATTTCATTCATCCCGAGCTGCCTCATCTGTCCCTTACTCAAGGTATTGGCAATTTGTAAGATTTCTGTGGCTCAGTTCCATTAGGACTTCCAGTCTTTTTCATCACTAGGGTCCACTTCACTGTGCGCATCACTAAAAGCAAAGAATATATGCTTCCCCACACGCAATACTGCTCCTCAGGATGCATTTTAGTCATGGAGAACCTCCTTTTACACAGACCCAGTGTTTTTGTTAGTAGAATATATTTACTCGCAGCTGCAACTCAAAACGACGGAGTGAAGGTTTTTACCTGAAAATACCCATCCATCTATCCATTTTCTATACCTGCTTGCACTATGCCAGGACACGGGGATCCGGAGCCTTACAAGCCGAGGCAGGGAATAACCCAGGACAGCATCTCGAAACATTTGGAACCAATTTCATAACGCAAGGCTGTGTTAGTTCCTGCAAGTCAGGGACTGCCCAGACGTCGCCGTAGTTAAAAACAAAATCCAGCACGATGACGAATTAATTATCTCATTTTGCTGATGTTGGCGTTTTCTCTCGTTATTGGTGCATGTTTTCGTACACTTATAATAATTTTGATTGCGATATTTTTGATATTCCGTAGGTGACCAAGCAAAATACGTTTCAAAATTAATCTCTGGAATCATGGAGGGCAGACATTTTCCCAGGAGTGCTATAAGTCTCAGTTAGACCTGGTGGCCTGTCATCAAAAGTCATCTATTCAGTGGCTGAAGGTTAGGGCTCTAAATCCACAGCCTGACAGGTGTAAGTTTCTGCCAAGACCGCCGCCTTCTTATTTCTTTTTACTGCAAAATCAATGAACTCAGTCCTTTGAAGTATTAGCTGTTTTTCCAATTCATTTATGATTTGAAACAATGAGGCCCTTGGACGTATAATAGCTCTAAGATATTGAATTTGTGAAGTCACTCAGAGGCGCCGCCTGGTCAATGCGTAATAGAGATGCTGGTAGAGATGCTGAAAGAGGTTGGGCCGCGGATCTAAGACGTGGAGCTGCAGCATTACTGGGAGGCCGCCGCACCCGCGATTAACATAACTGGCGAACATGCCATCCATCTGCAGGGCTGAAACAGGTCCGTGAAACTCCTCCAGTGAGAAGGGGACAGCACAGGTCAGCTTGTGGTGTG